GAAGTAACCGCTCACCGTTATCATTACGAGAGCCTATATCATGTTGGCCGCTCAGATGCAGGAGTTCGTTCAGTTGGCGATAGAAGTCGTCTTTTACCGAGTCATCGCTACAGTTTATCAGTGCATAGGCAGCGATAACGAATAGACACCTGTTAGTCCCACGCGACTTCGAAGTTTTGAACGATCCAGCCAATCGGACCGCACACATCCGGCTACTGATTGGAATCCAATCAACCAGAGTAGCTTCAGCCCGGGGACTCAGGGCAATACCAACACCGGCTTGGCCGATGCTCGAAGCTGTATCGTCACCGGATAGGCGCAATGAGAAAGTGCTGCTAGTGTCACCTGAAGGGGATCGCAGAGTGAGTACAGAGCTCGAGTCCTGCAGGCGGGTCTCCGATAAGCAGCAGATATCGATCGAGAGGGTCTCCAATGTTCGGGCAAGTGCTGCCTGTTGACCGATCTGAAGCAATGTGCGAACACTGAAGCATGCCAATCTGAAGGAGGATCGAGGGCTCCAAATGGAAGCCGATGAACTGGAATGGGCCGCTTGCTTGGACATGGGCCTGTTGACAGTGCAGGAATGACGCCCTGCGTTCACCTGAGTTAAAACTAAAAGACAAGCGACTATTGAAGCAAGGTGAGGGAGGGCCGAGAATTGGGGGGTTGAAAACAGAGGGGATAAAAGTGAAGCTGGAACGGGACCATAAGGGTGAAAAAGCGCAAGAAGGGGAATAAGAAGACGGGAAGGCTTGAGCAGTAGCATCCAAACCCCTATTCACCCTGCTCGATGCAGCAGATAGGGCGCCGTTGATTATCCTCTGCGGTGGCCAGAGCATCAGAAATTTGTTTGGGGAAAGATTAATTGTATTGCGTGGGCAGGATACTGTCAGGTTGCCCAGGCCTAGACAGGAGAACGATTAGGGTTCTCAACCAAAGCCTTTGGTTCAAAAACCTAGCCGCAAGGCAGCGGGTTTGGCACTGGACTACAAGGAGTCCGTTTTAAGGAATAAGGAGCCACCCTCATTCCAACCCCCAACCTGGAGGACCAGGAGGCTGAGTTTGTCTGGCCTCTAACCACTGTCCAATCTGGTATGAGTGGCTCTGAAGGTGCAAAAGCACCACCCAGTATAGCTCAATGGATCATTGAGGCACACAAACCATCGCACCACGGTAAGGTCCAACCTCATTGCGATGGTAAACCTGCGCTAAATGAGCATGTATAATAAATTGTTTATCAAAAAAGCCGTGCTAAGTTGAAGATGTCATAAAAGATGGTTATAAAAAAGAAAAACGCCACAAACGCAAAAACGTTAGCGATGTTAAACACTATTATATATATATATATATATATATATATATATATATATATATATATGTCTGCATGATGATCATGGTGAGTACCTGGAAGAGACAACCCTTTCGGAATGAGATGAACGCTTCGTTCTCAAGACTGTTTGAGAGGTGCGGGATACTGAAAATGATGAGGGGGCGGTGCGCGGTTACGCACCTGAGGGTTTCCTGGGAAACCGCTGAGTGAATCGGTAAGATGCGAATAGATTAGTTTTAGAGCACCAAAGTGATACAGTCGTCGATCTACCTGTTACTGTGTCGTAAAAGCCAAACCTCAAACTGGATAACCGCAAGTGACAAACAACAATGACCGATGGTAAAAGTTAGGGAAACTTCGTTTATTTCTTTTCTCGATCCAGACATCACCGATTAATTTTCTGTTTGCAGATCAAAATCCAGGCAATACAAGCCCATACAACGTGAATGTTGACCACCGCTGGACTCCCGGTACAGGGTATTGCACCACGGAATATTACTTCACTAATGCATATCTATATGCATAGATAGTTTTCTAGATGCTATACAACAACAATACATTATGTGCCCGACACTGTTCTCTTTTCGCGCGCCACATGGGTTCTAAATTTTGATCGAGTCCGAACAAAGGCATTGTAGGAGAACGGATTTATCCCGGTTCGGAGTTGTATGACTGAAATGGAAAAAATACAAGTAGGCAACTAGGATCGGAGTACAGAAATGCGTTGAACCCGCTCGCTTATTTGAGTTACCTAACGATAAAAAACAAGAGCGATAAGAACTGAAAAAGGATGAAAAGCAAGTTGATGTTCAGACGGAGCGATTGGAAGTCTGAAGTTTGTTGAATGAACATCACCGACTACTACTACGTCAAGTCAAGTAGGTCCTCAAACAATTCTTGCTACTGATCTACGGGTTAGGAGAGAGACATCAGCGAAGGACGCAACCTAGTCACTGGAAACTGTCCCAATGTTGCGAAATACTAGCAAACAGGTGCCAATGCCAACTGCGAGTACTGAACTTATAAAATGAAACTCGAGATCAGATACACCATTCCTAGTCTGATTTGTTAGGCTCTACTGCCTAGTTTTTTGGTTAAACTCTGAGACTTCGTCTTCAGGGTGTGACAAAAAATTGTAACGATCAAAACGCACGCAGAATAAGCAGGTCAAGGAAAGGAAAGCCACAAGGTGTACGTACGAAGCTGCGGCCTAGAACAAAACAAACTGATAACAACTCATCGAAGATGTCAACCATGTCCATATTGTGCAGGTAGTAAGCATACGGCTAATTAGTCATTTTAGTGTAAAGAGGTGTGATGAAGACGTTCAAGATGTTTAGGCAAAATATGATGGTCTTGCAGGTTTGAGGTACTCTAATTCGTTACACTGTAGCAAACATACAAATCATATCGTGAAAAAGGCTAAGCAGTCGGTTGGGCTCATATGCCACCTTCTAACATTGAAAGAAACCAGACTAATTGCTTTCAAAATCAGTATCAGACCGTTGCTTGAATACTGCTGTGTTACGTTCAGTAACCTGCGAAAGTGTGATTTGAGAGCCAATGAAAAGGTTCAACGCGCTTTCACAAAGCGTATAGTTGGTTATTCAACCGCTTTCATACAGAGATAGGTGCAAAGAGCTGAATCCGGGACCTCTGTGGTTACGACTAAAGCAATTAAATCTGTGCTTTCTATACAAACTTGAGTGGCGGAAAGCATATCTTGGAACCTATCAATTGCACTTTCGGGAAAATACCAGTTATGAACCGCGAGATAGTGAATGTATAGTCCCTTGAACTAAATTCAAGACCAGGCTAAGGAGAAACTTTTACCTTCTTAGATATAGCTCCATATGGAATAAGCTGCTAAAAGAGATTGATGTATTGAACATTTTGCATGTCCAAGAAAATGATAGTTATCTGTCAACTGAAATGGGTCCTAAAAAGTCAACTTGATGATGAAAAGCTATATGAAGAAGGGCCGGATCATGTATGATACCGGAGAACATAGAATGGAAACATATTCAACACATGCACCAGAGCAAACTTGATCATTCAGGATGAGCTGTTATAATCGCTTCTCATGCTATCCTTAATGCAATTTTCTACGCGGTCTACTCCTTTCAAACTTAATTCAAAACAACTATCTTCTGAGCTAAAACCAAGAGTAAAATTATTTACTAGTATGGGGCCAGGAACTATCTTCGTAATCCTCCCCTCAAATTGACTAATTCGTAATATTTGTTCTGCGATTCCCTTCGCTGCATTTGTTCTGTAATGTTAACCATTTCCCCTTCTTTTCTGGAGTTAACAGTCCAGAAACATATACCGGATTTCTGTGATGGCAATAAGGGATCCCCTATTCAACTTTTTGCCTGTGGACAACTCGTGCAGTTATCTGTCTTCGGCTGTCACGCCGCACAACTTGATCGTATGATCGGCTCGATCCATTTTGACGCTGACGTAAAAAATATACCTGATTATTTTTTTACATTAACAATATAGTACCTCTTTCACACAATTCTTTTTCTTCTACCTTCATCGTTATTTCATTGTTGGTCACGACTGGGCTGATTCCCTGTGGTGACGGATTATAGCTTCCTGATTATGAAAAATTATACCTATGCAACGCACATCGCCACCAAGTGGCTGCCGTATAAAAAATGCCATAATTGAACGATCCGCATGACGAACAGGGCTGAGGCTTCATCGCCTATAATACATGCATAAAAGCAGCCTTAAAAAGAATACAACATATGTTAAACAGGTGATGGCTTATATGCTAGTTTGCCACACCGGCACACGGCCAGGTATAGCATGGAAGTGCGGGCGAAATCTTTATAGGGAATACCCTACATGGAAGCAGGTCCTTTGGAGATGGTTGCACGTTTGGCCGTATTACTTTACGTGAACATTTGTTTAAATCCATGTTGGTTATTGTTCCCCGCCTTTCAATTTCTTTGAGACCTTAAGCCTGCAAACTACTGTAATATCCGTTTTGGACCTATTGTATAACGCGTGAACAATTGATTATTTTGTGCGATTCTGTTGTACACGTTGGTCAGACTACATAGTTTGAGTGTGCCTCGCATTGCCGAGGAACATACCATTAATTTTTATTTCCTTAAACAAAACACGTCGGGTGTGGTTAAATAATTAACGGTAAGAAATCAAAATAGATCGGATACAACCTCCTTAGATGGATACCGCTTTCTCATTTGAAAAAGTACCGTGATTCAAGGATCAAAAATAAATAAACTGAGGGAGGCGGATTTGCACGGGTAAAGAACTAATGGACGTAATGGCGTAGAACAGGATAACTGCCTGTCTCAAGGATGAAGTCGAATAGAATAAGGAATTAGCAAGGCAGACACAAAGGGAGAGACGCGTATGTGTCAGAGCTAGGTTGTAGTGAGGAAAAACAAGGTAAGCAAGTGCAGGGGACAGAGAGCTTTGGAAATGAACTGGGTGTCCAAAAATGCATGCATGAGCCTTTATTTGAACTTTGGATTTTCGATAGCAGCGGTGCTTAACATATGAATGTTCTATATCCAAGAAAGTTCAAAAAACATACAGGTCACCTAATTGATAGAATGATGCATACATATAAGTACAAAAAAGCGACAAACAGGATGGTGGTTGGTCAAGTTGAAGTGCGATGTTTGATAAACTAGTCATCATTATGTTTAGAAACCAAATCAACAAAAGTAGGCACGAGGTCACGTGCGATAACATCCGCATAAAATCGACCTTTTAAGTTCAGGTCCTTTGTGATGAGAGGTGCGACAGCTTCTAACTCGTTGGATGAGACATCACCGGTGGAAACGGAATAGGGAGGCCTGCTCCAAGCTTCCGGTGGAAGACGAGATAAAGCATGCGATGGAAACCACTGCACACGTAATCCCTCGAAATCCAGTTCCTCTCTACTCAGGTGGGGCTGGTGGATACCATGTTCGACGACGACAACTTGTTCTAATGTGTGGAGGTAAGCCAATTCTGTAGCAATAACGCTATCTGGCTCTCCGACTGCGGTAAACTCTGCGCGCATCTGTTTCCAGCCGTTGGAGAATAGGATTATACGCTGCAACTGTTCGGGGGACCAATTGACGGAGAACAAGTTGTTGATGAGCAGAGGGGCACAGTGAGGTAGAAAAACAAGATGGTGACGATCTGGTGATAAAAGATAGCGGGCTTCTTCATTATTTTCCAAAACCTGAGAAAAGAAAAGACAGTAGATTGGAAGGGACTGTGGGTGGATGAAAAATATAGTGTTTGGCCAAATTTTTATAAAATTATACAATTCAACGAACTCATTTCATATTTCTTCACATTTAAGGTAAAAATCCAATGATTTAACTGTAAACTGATTATATTTTCCAAGGAAAACATGTATCGATTAGAAATCCATCAAGGTTAGCACTCTATAAATGATGCTTTGACAAATTTCAAGGGGTTAACACGCAAAGGCATGGATTGAATGAGTTTCGCAATGTTCAGTCATGCATTCACTGCGCGCCCCGATCGCTAAAGTTTCTTCAATGAACTGCTGCTTATTTGTAATAATATTTTTCTTCATCTGACTTTAGAATTGCCCATGAGTTCTCTATTTGATTCCTGGCAGGACTATTACCAGGCCATGGTAACACTTCAAGAGCACAACTCACAAGAAAACGGGTTACTTCACGTCCCTTGTGACATGAAGCAGTCATGCATGAAAATGCAGTCTGATGTCAACATAAATCCTTTTTTTCTTTGCCCAGTCACACAGCTTATGAATCAGTTGGTGTTCTAGTAGTGTTTTATGCTGCTGCTGGTTCACGTTTCCATGGACGATGTAGAGCCGATCAGTTCCGTAGATGTTCACAACACTTCATATCATGACTTGAGTGGGATGCTTGACTCCTTGAACGATACGGTCTTACCACATCTGATCGCCACGTGATCGCCCGACATATGGAGCTTGCTAAAAACCACCTAAATTAAAACAGAAAAGCTGTTGGAAATACCTAAGCAATGTTGGCACAAATTTTCAAGAAATTCCCTATAAAAATACAGCTTTTGCCTCTTACCCGCCGCCAATCTTCTTTTGACAATTTGTCAAACTGTTTGACCCATTCCTGTCGTTCTGCTTTCATCTGTTTGGTCAACTTTTGATTCTTCAGACGTCTGCAAGCTCGAAGTCCACAATCCTCAAGTCGTCTTCTCACATTTCTGAAACTTACTGCAACACCATGCTGCTCTAACATCCCTTGGAGCTGTCTGCTAAATACCTTGCGTTTCCTTCGGCATTACCTAAGCAGAAGCGAGTCGTCTCGAGCTGTTGTTGATCTTCTGCGACCACATTTACCGGAATGTTAGGGGGACAGGGATAAGTTCCTTTGCAATTCCTTTCAAATTTGGCATATAGACGCTGGGTCAACGCCAAGCTTGGTAGCAATTTCCGATCGTTTAACACCATCTGTCAACAAAACTGCAATCTTTGCACATTTCCAAAAGTCAGGTCACGTAATTTACCCATTATTAAGCTAAAACAAACTAGAAACTGTCGGTTGTATCATTAGTTGAGAAGATACCTTGAAAAGTAAACATAAAAGTAATTAAAGATAATTATAGATTGATCCTAAACCAGACAAATGTAATGTAGAAATGTAGACCACAGTAGAAAATGACAAACTGAGTTAAGACTGTTACTGTCGGTTCACATCATTACTGTAGCTATAACATCAACCAATTTGCCATCATTTGCAAAACTCATTCACTCCACGCCTTTGCGTGTTAACCCTCAGAAAATTGGCAAAGGGTGATGTACAAAATAGTAGTAATCTTGAGGAATTTCTATTCAGTGTGTTTTTCTTGTAAAATGCAATCGGTTTACAGTAAAATCATTTGATTCTTATGATAAATGAAAAATCTGAAAAAAAGTTTGCGGAATTCAACAAATTTACAATAATTTTGCCAACACTACAGTAGGAGAGGTGAGGTGTTGATGATGATGGGGAGATGAAAACCATCAACAGTGTGCCCGACTGCTGATCAACATAGATCCGATAAGGTTCGCCGGCATGCGTGGTACACGTGAACCATAGGAGGAAGACACGAGTTGAATGATCAACAACTACGGTCCGGTGTTAATGCCACCGCGCAGTGAGCTAAGGGGTGCAGCCTTGATCACTGTGGAAAACGGAAGGAAGGCCATGCTGACTGCAACTGATTGGCTAGAGTCGCAACGTCATCAATCATCATCAACAACACACCAAAATTTCGCACCAGTTTCGTTTCATAAATATGATTAAGAGACAGTACGAATACGAAATAACAAACAGAGATTGGATGCAGAGTGCGTAGCATTTAGCAAGCGATTCGACTCAAGTTGACTCTATCACGCCAAAATAGATGTGGCAGATCTCCCGTGGAACCACTACTTCGTGCTGTGGCCCCACAAGAAACGGACTTAGCTACACTCCAAACAGGTAGTCCAAATAGGAGAGGACACCAAACGCCTGACTGTTGTCAGCCGCAACCAAATGTGATGAAAGACGCGGGATTAAACACATAGTGATTCGCCTAGACCCCATTGTGGAATGTGACGTGGACAAACTGTACACGGTCCCACGGTCAGAGAGCTCAGTTCCCACTACAGGTGAATAGTTGTTCTCATCGATAAGAAAAACGAGATAGGACTATTATAAGCGGGTAGTGAACGCGCACAAACAAAACGTGCCAGAGCCAGAACAAATTATTCAGACTTATATGCACACCATTGTCCAGTAGTTGTTTGTGCATCTGGTCACTGCGGCACAATGGTAAAAATTTCCTCAATCAACTACAGCCAATGAGCTGAAAGCACATGAGATCCACAGAACTAAAAGGCCAAGTCAACGTAGTGGAGAACGGTCCTCATTGTGGTTCTCAACACAAAAGTATTTTTCCGGCAGATAAATTAGCCAGGACCCATAAAAGGCCCAGCTATTGCGACACGCGAAGTGATGTTAGCAGTCACGTGCCTGTCATCTTTAATGTAACTAACATGAGAGAAATCAAGTATAATTATGTGCTGTAAAGAAGTAAACAGCCAGTAGGCAAATGGTGGTCCCACGGTAACTAGAAGGCGGGAATTTGTCGAGTAGTAACTGTGTCACCCACGTAATCCAGATCGACGGACGTTCGCTACACCATTTCTCGGCCAAGTTGTCGTCTTGGGCAACAGAATTAATCTGAGGGGGCATCCAACATGAGTCTACTCAATTAATTTGAGCCGTGCGTACGCCACTTACTTGTGCAGGTGTGTAGGTGTGCGTGTATAGCCGGTCGACATAACTGTCCACGACCAACTGGACGAGGCAAGTTACGGACTTTGGTATCCGATGGCAACAACCTGCGATATGCACAGGAGACACTGATAAGTGTCACGAAATCCTGTGCTAGGTTGCAAGGGTAGTGTGTGACTGACGTAACACGGAACCAGCAAATTT